AATCGGAAAGACGAGATAAGCCTTCATCAACCTGAAACCAGTTTGGAAATCTTGTACACTCCGCCTCAGCATAAGGAACAAGATTCGGATTTTCCGCAGCAATGTGAAGTCGGTTCTTTTATACGGGTCAGAAACTCGCACTGTGTGTCACGAAAAGGATTTTCAACAAGTTACAAACTTTTATCAAAAGCTGTCTTCTCAATACTGAAGATCAAATGGCCAGAGAGAATAAGGAACAAGAAAAAATGGACACAAACCAACCAAGAGCCAATCGCTGAACAAATATGTAGGAGAAAATGGAGATGGGTCGCAAATATATTGAAAAGGCCGCCGAATAGAATTCCTACACCTAATTTACGCAACATATGTCAGGCCTCATCTAGAATACTGCATAGAAGCTGCTAGTCTATGCTTCAAGAAGGAGGGACATATCTTAGAAAGAGTACAAAGAGTAGGAACCAAATAAATTAGTGGTATCTCACACCTTCCTATGACAAAAGGTTGGAGAATTAAAATCTCTTCCCGTTATCATACCGAAGAAAGAGAGGCGACTTAATTTTAGCATACCGTATACTTAAGGGTGATTTAAGAACTGATCTTTCTAACCTTTCTGCCCTCCTAGGATACATTTACGGGATCACCGCAAAAAGGTGCTCAGACAGAGGACGATTAAAATACATGCGGAATTTAGATTCTCTCACAGAGTGGTCAACGACTGGAACTCTTTACCTGATTCAGTAGTATCAGCTCCATCGGTGAAAGCTTTCAAAGAGAAGTTAGATCTCTGCAGAGGTATATTTTGCAAGGATTAACACAGGCCACAAGAGCCTACTATCCTCATCGTCTGAATCTGAACTCCCACCACCGACTTATATTAAGTTGTAGAACTGTAGCTCCGTTCTAACCTATTTTGCATTGCAAATGCCGATATCTCCTCAACAATATTTTCATGACACAGCACTGTGAGCAAACCGCAGTCACAGGAATTAAAACCACCTGTCACTATGGACAATGAGTTGCCAAAAGAGGCGACAGCGAAATCAGTGAATTCATCAACAAACACGGATAGTTCCGAGGGCCTACAACAAGGAGTGACATGAATGTTCGTGATAAAAGTTAAGTTGTACCTTGACAGGTGTTTAGGTCGACATTTAACAGTCATATAGTCAATAATATCACTTGATAATTTAAAACAGACTACTGAGAATTAATAAAAGTAGCGAAACCACAACGTCGACTTTTCCTTGAACTTCGTCGGTCTTGTTCGTACATAGTGAAATTTTCATCATATGAATCGTATAGACAGGTTTCTTGAAGCGTTAATACACCTGTACTATGACAAACATTAGGACATAATAGAGCCCAGCTAGCATTGACTTCGGGTGCACTGCAGGGTGTTTGGAGCAGAGTGTAGATCACTGTCCCACGTTCTGCAATGCTCCCGAAGAAGATGCTAGCTATGAGGGTAACTCTAAAATATAGGAGCCCAAAAAGAAACTACCTCTAGCGACCAATCAAGTGTGTCGAAACTAGACAGGTGCAATTTGAAATCAATGTCTATATACAAGTAGTGCGATGTTACCCAATCCTACAAATATGGGGATAATCGTGTTAAAAATGGGACATTCCATTGAGAGAATAAGGGGACAAAATTCGGAAATGCGATGGTTGTCCCCTTTACCCAGACGCCGCACATTGTCCCCTTTTTAGACACATTGCCCCCCTTTTTTATAGGATGAAGTAACTGCATATGTCTAAGCATTTTAACCTGAACACCACAAAGTCCCTTCAGATAAGCTGTTTTTAATAATAAGTGGTTAAAAGTATGAGTTGTTAGTGCAGCTTCCATGTCCTTCATAGCCACAGATAATTCCTAAAGGAACTTAGAATACCTTAGCAATCTGAAAATGAATGATAACAAGGACTGGCATGATTTCCGTAACAGGTGTAATAGTGATAGGATGTACTGAAAGCTAATCTTCGACAGATGGGTAATACTAATTGTAAGCACTTTTATGTTTGAGAAGGACCATCGGCTGTGTTTCTTAATGTGCTCTATTGAATGACTAGTTAGGGGATTGCTCTCGCAAACTAAAGTCAAAAATTGCAGAAACCATGTAAACTCAGCACAAACGAAATTTACAATTGGTATGTTCCTTTACAGATAGAAATAAATATATTATTGTTACTAATTGTAAGCAGTGTTACATTTTAGAAGGACCATCTGTAGTATTCTTCTGATCCCAAAGCACACTGATATCAAGATAAGTCGATGCCGCTTGATGAAATAAGCAGTTACGGTCTTCCAAAATTCCGTGTGACAATGAAAATTTCATTAGCATCATATCTCAGTTTGGGAAAGTCTAACCATGAACTTCATCAAAATGCACATAATCACTGCAAAATTCAGCCGCTTTTCTCATTCACCGTATGATTTCACTCATCACGGATGAAAATAATAATGCTTAAGCTGCCCAGAACAGATGTCTAACTTATGTATGTGGACTTATTTTCTATTCAAAGCTATATCTTCAAAGAGGGGAACAGACAATTGGTATCTAACTACCGGCCAGTAAGTGTGCCATGTATTATAGGAAAGGCGTTGGAAACAATTATAAGGGATCGGCTGTTAGTTCATGTGGAAAAACATGGATTGCTCGCGGTGGAACAGCATTGATTCCGATCAGGACGATCCTGCCTGAAAAACCTACTATTGGTTAAGGAAGACTGGGTTGAGGCCAGAGGTAAAAATCTGTCGGACGTGGTTTTTAAGATCTTGGTAAGGCATTCGATAAAGTATCCCATTTAGGTCTCCTTAAGAAACTAAAAGGATTCGGAATAAACGAATGCCTATGTGAGTGGTTTAGGGATTACCTAATGGATAGAAGGCATAAGGTTAGAGATAACGGTTACTATCAAGGTTGAAAGCAGTATCCAGTGGAGTGACTCAGGGAACTGTATTAGACCTCTTGCTATTCCTATTATACGCTAGTGAACTACCGGGGATTCTTACTTCATCTTCATTATTATTTGCGGACGACATCAAGATCTGGAAAGGTGTAAATAATAACGATGATAGGTCGGCCCTACAAAGTGATCTTGATAAATTAGCTGAGTAGTCGGACCCATGGAGTTTGGGAATTAACTCTAGGAAAAGCGCGACAATGCAGTTAGGTCAGAAGTCTTATACGTCGTACTCCTAGGGGACACAGAAATACCTGATATTAACGGACAGAAGGACATAGGAATCATTGTCAGCAACGACTTGAAAACAACTGTGAATTGCGATACACCCACAGCTAAGGCTTTTCGAATGCTGTGGGCACTCCGAAGAGCTTTCAAATGATTAGATGAGTCTATGTTCAAAGTAATCTACGCAACATATGTCAGGCCTCATCTAGAATACTGCATAGAAGCTGCTAGTCTATGCTTCAAGAAGGAGGGACATATCTTAGAAAGAGTACAAAGAGTAGGAACCAAATAAATTAGTGGTATCTCACACCTTCCTATGACAAAAGGTTGGAGAATTAAAATCTCTTCCCGTTATCATACCGAAGAAAGAGAGGCGACTTAATTTTAGCATACCGTATACTTAAGGGTGATTTAAGAACTGATCTTTCTAACCTTTCTGCCCTCCTAGGATACATTTACGGGATCACCGCAAAAAGGTGCTCAGACAGAGGACGATTAAAATACATGCGGAATTTAGATTCTCTCATAGAGTGGTCAACGACTGGAACTCTTTACCTGATTCAGTAGTATCAGCTCCATCGGTGAAAGCTTTCAAAGAGAAGTTAGATCTCTGCAGAGGTATATTTTGCAAGGATTAACACAGGCCACAAGAGCCTACTATCCTCATCGTCTGAATCTGAACTCCCACCACCGACTTATATTAAGTTGTAGAACTGTAGCTCCGTTCTAACCTATTTTGCATTGCAAATGCCGATATCTCCTCAACAATATTTTCATGACACAGCACTGTGAGCAAACCGCAGTCACAGGAATTAAAACCACCTGTCACTATGGACAATGAGTTGCCAAAAGAGGCGACAGCGAAATCAGTGAATTCATCAACAAACACGGATAGTTCCGAGGGCCTACAACAAGGAGTGACATGAATGTTCGTGATAAAAGTTAAGTTGTACCTTGACAGGTGTTTAGGTCGACATTTAACAGTCATATAGTCAATAATATCACTTGATAATTTAAAACAGACTACTGAGAATTAATAAAAGTAGCGAAACCACAACGTCGACTTTTCCTTGAACTTCGTCGGTCTTGTTCGTACATAGTGAAATTTTCATCATATGAATCGTATAGACAGGTTTCTTGAAGCGTTAATACACCTGTACTATGACAAACATTAGGACATAATAGAGCCCAGCTAGCATTGACTTCGGGTGCACTGCAGGGTGTTTGGAGCAGAGTGTAGATCACTGTCCCACGTTCTGCAATGCTCCCGAAGAAGATGCTAGCTATGAGGGTAACTCTAAAATATAGGAGCCCAAAAAGAAACTACCTCTAGCGACCAATCAAGTGTGTCGAAACTAGACAGGTGCAATTTGAAATCAATGTCTATATACAAGTAGTGCGATGTTACCCAATCCTACAAATATGGGGATAATCGTGTTAAAAATGGGACATTCCATTGAGAGAATAAGGGGACAAAATTCGGAAATGCGATGGTTGTCCCCTTTACCCAGACACCGCACATTGTCCCCTTTTTAGACACATTGCCCTCTGTGTTTTCATATGATTTCCTCCTTATCATCAGTTTGTCACTTGTAGTATAATAACCTTAATTTAACGAAAACTGTTTACTTACTCTTGGCCGGCTCCCCTTTTTTTCTACACGATCACGTACGCCGTGGAAGTATGCCTTAGTAGTGTCTTTCAAAATTTTTATTACTTCGTCCTCGGGCATCGTAGCAGAAGCGAACTCGCTGACAATGACGGCTGAAGGAAATATTTAAATAAAGCAAGCTTACACGTTATAACTTTATAGAAGTAGCACTTTGTGAGGACTAGCTTCTTCGGTGTTCCGCACGCTGTGAAGTGACTTGGTAGCTAAGGCTCCCGTATGTAATTCAGCATTCGTCTCAACGAAGACTGCGGATTGAACGACAAATTCCCAACCAGTTTCGTCATCTAAACGTAATCGAAGGTTAATTATAAACTTACGAATGAATCTCTGAATTTTGGGCTTTTCAATGACGCTTCCAGTTGGTTAAACTCTTCTTCAGTCGACAAGGGGAATTCTAGTTGACTATTGTCAATGGACGATTTCCCGGTTCCCAAAATGGTCACGTCGCCCGACCTATTTGACGAGACCAACTGCGTTAGCAGTTTACCAAAGGACTGCATTTTCTCTTTAAGGAGCTGTACTTCTCCTTTAAGGGACTGTAACTCAGAAACCACTTTATCGTTGGAATCAGTGTTTTCCTTACTGCAAAGTAACCAGTGATTAAAAATGACATACGTAGTCTGCCTAATTGGCTGTGTGATTGGTGACGACGTCGCCATTGGCATTTGTGGGCTGGAAGTGCTGAAGGAATAAGAATATGAAATGAATGCGTTACCTGGCTGTCGGGGCCATCAAAGTTTCCATGAAATTGGTGTTACGGTATTTAGATAGCTCACACACTTTCTGTGCCTCAACTGCTTCTAGTTCAGCTGAGTCATAAGCGTATGATGCGATGATGATGTGCTGAAAATTCCACACTGTACCACTAGACCCGTTTCTGGAATAAAGCAAATTATTATTATTATTAAGATCTTAGACTCCACTCTGTATTCTGTCATTAACCAATTAGGAGAATCTACGTTTGACGTTTGGCTTTCATCAAGGGCAATGTCTCCTCAAGATTACCTGAATTAGACAGGATATTGTGCATTCGTCTTACAGTCGACAAAGTACACTTGGCTTGTAAGAATGGCTACATAGGATAATATTCTTGCATATGTCCCAGGAGCCCTCATAGTCGGGTTAAACCAATTTCTGTACATAAAATCGTCAGAGTCCCTACTCCGTCCGGTGGGGAGTTTCGTTTTTGTCTGCTATAGTTTAGAGTCACCTCTGGGAGCGTGCAATTAACTAATCTTGCTCGATAATGACCTACAATTTATGCTCATAATCACAGGAACAGTCGTCTGTTGCATTGATGGTACGTTTGAAGCCTCGCAGCAACCCACCATAATGCTTTTTCTGAAGTTTGACAGAAACTCGTGAATCATTTTAAATAATCGCGAGAGTAGACGATACGATTTGGACACATAATTGAAAAATTAAAACAAATCGAATCCGAGAAATCAGATGCACCAGGTATGATGGAAACTTTTCGTAGCCAAAGGTATAGGGAGACCTGAATCACACAGTAGAATTTCAGTCAGTTTCCAAAAATCACCGGTTTGGGGGCACAGTAATGATGCAAATGTGGGTCGAACAGTCCGTTATACGGTTATGAGGAATTTCCCATGCGAATTTCGAAACGCAGTCAAAATAACTCATTTACTCAAACGCCATCTGTAGACAGAGTTGTTATGGGTATTCGTTAGCCATTTGAGACCCGTAAATAGCGTTGACTCCTGGGGTACAGTAAATTAACACAAGTATTTGATGGAAGCATAAGTATGTATCAGCTGCCAAACAGCAACTGCTGATTAACTTTGCAACATCCACGGGAAATTACTTAATATCCGCTCTCAGAGTAGGCATGATTTTGTGAGGCCTTCACGCAGTGATTTACTTTATTAGCACCCTCAGTTTTTCAATATTCTAATGTCATGTCTAGGTTCCAGCGGTTACTTATACGTCAGTTTGTCTCTGAAGTTAGGTTTTGTGGACACTGTGAAGTGAAAATGCGGTGACATGTGAAAATACTAAGAAATGCGTGCGGAGACTTAGGGGATGTGAGCACTGGAATATTTTGAATCGTCTAACTTTTCAGGTAAAGGGTGAACGCCGTTCTTGTTCATTTTATTCCTTATTGAACGGACATCAACATATCATTGGGTTTGACTGTTGTCTACCCTGTTGTAAGCTTTGAGAAAACAATTTTATGAAGCTTTGACGAATATCTTCACTCTGGCCACTTATGAAAACATAATTAGTGCATGGAAGTAATCAAGTTCACTTCATTCATCGTGTTTGAGACACTCCAAAGTATGTGCAGCCTCACATAGAGTGAACGGTATGCCAAGAAACGAAAGAAGACAAAAAAGGTGTGATGGTAGTTAGGTCAAGATCCTTACCAAGATAGAATGATGCACACTTATGTCAAGTTCACTGAAAAAATACGTGTTTTTCAGAGATAAATTTCACTTGAAAATGTGGTGAATGAGTAACTATTTCGGGTTGTCTAGGCTTGTGGTTTTCAATAGTGGCTATGCTGGCCCATGTCGATACCATGGTTTGTGGGCATTACATGAAAAATGAAAGACCATGGGCGGTTGGATGGCCTTATCATTCTGATTTCAAGTTTCTATTTAGACTAGTCCCTGATGGCCCATGCTTTTGCTGAGGATGATTGCCGTGGTCTCGTTAGCACTGGTGGTTTATTTGTGGTTATTTGATGACAGACGTTGGCATCCAAACATGAACTGCACTATTTAGTCTTTAGACATTCAGAAATTAGCAGATGAATGGAGTGTCAGTAGGGTGGGTGTCTGTCATCCTAAATCCACTAACGAGTTTTTGCGACTTATTACCTGGTGCATTTGCATAATCAGTTGTAGCGGTTGATTCTGCATACAGCAACACGAGAAGGGAAGTTCACTCATTCATTTATAACCATAGAGATATTCTTTGTTCCAGTTTGTGATACCGGATAACTTTGGATGTGAGCGTGCATCTCTGTTTGCTTGGGATAAGGAAGAATTTAAAGGTAATGCAATTTGTATACTGGACGGTTTCTTACGAATAGTGGGAAATACTTCCCAAACGAAGCCTTTCGTCTTGGACTATGCTTAGCCTATAGGTGTAAATAAAATTGTTTGCGCTGCAGTGAAATAAAACTTTTATCTAGTATTCTTGTGTTCTTGATATACTTGCAGGGGAGTACGGCATGCTCAACCGGTATTCCCTACGATATGAACTCGTTAGTATACGTAAGTATATTTCTGTGCGAGCACTATCGATTAATATAGGTGGTGACTTATAAGGACTTCAGTCAAGATTCAACATGTGCCTAAGGTTACGCGACTACGTCTCCTAGCCATAGGTGAATCTTCAGGGACCAGTGACAAAAAGACCTGACGTAGGTATTTGAAATGTAAGAACAGAACTTAGGCACTGTGGTGGAGTCTGATTTTGTATAAGACTAAGTGTATTCAAAAGTAGTGCATTACTATTATGTCACTTGAAGCGTGATGTCAATCCGCATGATTACGAGTGTTAAGGTATAACGCAAAATGAAGTACACATGAGACGAATAACTGAGTAAATGGAGCTGTATCAATCGTAGTACTATTTCATTTACATTGAATTATGCCAACAATTGCTTTCTCAGGCCGTTTTGATAGGTCAAGCCTCCATCTCACCAACATGTCAGATTTATTTTCGCTGAAAAAGAATAAGAAAAGCACGGCAGGCGGGTTGTTAAATGTATTTACTGAAAAATAATAACAAGCAGATGTCTGTACACGATTGTTTGTCGTGGCTATTTCGGGTGTGTTGAATTGCTGTGACCAGTTTGACTGACGCTATCAAACTCTTGCAAATAAGTGAACAAAGTGTATTTTTGAATCTGTTGTAGTTAAGAGAAAGTAGTACAAAAGCCAAGCACTTTATATTTGCCTACCTTTCCTGACAAAAGATTGAGTCCCCTTTCTCATTATGAGGTAATGACGGCATTCTTCCGTGGACTTCACTGTCACTTACTTTATTCCGCTTGTCAAAAACAGCATTAGGAAAGTGACGGATTATTGTTTTGCTGTCATTCTGAACTTTGAAAGATGGTCCACACATCTGAAATCTTGTAACTACGGAAACTGGAATAACGATTACTTCTATCTGTTCAGAGTATGTTTCTGACGCAGTTACTTATCGACAGTTCAAGGTATTCGCGGACCATCTGTAGTATTCTTCTGATCCCAAAGCACACTGATATCAAGATAAGTCGATGCCGCTTGATGAAATAAGCAGTTACGGTCTTCCAAAATTCCGTGTGACAATGAAAATTTCATTAGCATCATATCTCAGTTTGGGAAAGTCTAACCATGAACTTCATCAAAATGCACATAATCACTGCAAAATTCAGCCGCTTTTCTCATTCACCGTATGATTTCACTCATCACGGATGAAAATAATAATGCTTAAGCTGCCCAGAACAGATGTCTAACTTATGTATGTGGACTTATTTTCTATTCAAAGCTATATCTTCAAAGAGGGGAACAGACAATTGGTATCTAACTACCGGCCAGTAAGTGTGCCATGTATTATAGGAAAGGCGTTGGAAACAATTATAAGGGATCGGCTGTTAGTTCATGTGGAAAAACATGGATTGCTCGCGGTGGAACAGCATGGATTCCGATCAGGACGATCCTGCCTGAAAAACCTACTATTGGCTAAGGAAGACTGGGTTGAGGCCAGAGGTAAAAATCTGTCGGACGTGGTTTTTAAGATCTTGGTAAGGCATTCGATAAAGTATCCCATTTAGGTCTCCTTAAGAAACTAAAAGGATTCGGAATAAACGAATGCCTATGTGAGTGGTTTAGGGATTACCTAATGGATAGAAGGCATAAGGTTAGAGATAACGGTTACTATCAAGGTTGAAAGCAGTATCCAGTGGAGTGACTCAGGGAACTGTATTAGACCTCTTGCTATTCCTATTATACGCTAGTGAACTACCGGGGATTCTTACTTCATCTTCATTATTATTTGCGGACGACATCAAGATCTGGAAAGGTGTAAATAATAACGATGATAGGTCGGCCCTACAAAGTGATCTTGATAAATTAGCTGAGTAGTCGGACCCATGGAGTTTGGGAATTAACTCTAGGAAAAGCGCGACAATGCAGTTAGGTCAGAAGTCTTATACGTCGTACTCCTAGGGGACACAGAAATACCTGATATTAACGGACAGAAGGACATAGGAATCATTGTCAGCAACGACTTGAAAACAACTGTGAATTGCGATACACCCACAGCTAAGGCTTTTCGAATGCTGTGGGCACTCCGAAGAGCTTTCAAATGATTAGATGAGTCTATGTTCAAAGTAATCTACGCAACATATGTCAGGCCTCATCTAGAATACTGCATAGAAGCTGCTAGTCTATGCTTCAAGAAGGAGGGACATATCTTAGAAAGAGTACAAAGAGTAGGAACCAAATAAATTAGTGGTATCTCACACCTTCCTATGACAAAAGGTTGGAGAATTAAAATCTCTTCCCGTTATCATACCGAAGAAAGAGAGGCGACTTAATTTTAGCATACCGTATACTTAAGGGTGATTTAAGAACTGATCTTTCTAACCTTTCTGCCCTCCTAGGATACATTTACGGGATCACCGCAAAAAGGTGCTCAGACAGAGGACGATTAAAATACAT